ATTTTGTGCAGTCTAAATAAGTATTTCCAATGGAAATTTAGCATCTGAATTGGAATGTGTGGTAAATGTAAAATAGACCAGATTTAAGACAATATGAAAAAAGGATGTAAAATATCTCACTAATAATTTTGTATCGATTATATGTTGAAATGACAATATTTTGGATATACTGGCTTAAGTGAAGTATATTATTAAAATTTATTTCACCTGTGATTCTAATTTTTTTAATGTGACTACTAGAACATTTGAAATGACATAGGTGGCTTGCATGATATTTCTTTTGGATGGTTTTGGAAGTTCATACTCTATAAACTGTGGTGTGGGGGTGGTTTGATTGGCAACCTAGATCCTAGTCAGTGACAGGTGCTTTGGAGAAAAGAATAGTATAACCCTTTGAGTAAGGCATCTGTCCCGTTCTGACTCATTACTCTCATCAGGAAAGACTTGCCCCAATTACCTTTGCTAACTGGGTTTGTTTTAAGAGAGCCAGGGGATGTGGGGACTCTGGGGTCCCCAGTGCTTCCAAAATTGGGATGACCTATAGGCACCATGGATAAAGCACTGTGACTATCCATCTAAGTATACCCAGTACTCCTCCCTCTACCTGGACTAGTCTGTGTCCATTCAGCCCGAATACCCCTGTTGGGTGGAGGTTTGAGCCAACCTCCTTCAGAGGCCATTGCTTCCTGCCCCTGCCCCTGTGTCTGGCTGCCTTTAGCCTGGCCGCAATTTTCTAGTTTATTCAGTTGAAGATAGGTAGCAGTGTCTGTTTTGTTCCTTCCACATGGATTAAACTGTAAGATCTTGACACAAAAATAACCGGTAAGGCTTTCTTCAGAAGGAGCATATGTCAATGGCAGGAGTTTTGAATTTGGGCCTTCCTGGCTGTGTTAAATTCAACCCTCCTCTGCATCTGTAAAGAATAAATGCACTATCAGAGAGGATGTGTCCAGATATCCCCAGTCAGTATATGTTCAGCATGTGGTGACAGACGTGGTGTGACTGGGGAGGGTTACTTTCCCTGGGCACAATATGGTGAACATTGTGGCATGACTAGAAAGGACCACCACCTCTGGTCACATACAGTGACTCATTTGCAGTGACTGGAAAGGACCACTGTGTTAGTCTGCTGGAGCTGCCATAACAAATACCTCAGAAGACATGGCTTAAACAACAGAAATTTATTTTCTCACAGTTCTGCAGGTGAGAAGTCCAAGATCAAGGTGTCAGCAGGTTTAGTTTCTTCTGAGGTCTCTCCCCTTGGCTCGCATATGACTGTCTTCTCATTGTGTCCTCACATGGTCAGCCCTTAGGCTGTGTTATAATCCCTTTTTAAAATTATTTTTTAAATCAAGACATAATTTACAGACATAATATTATATTAGTTATGGATATACAACATAATAATTTAATATTTTATACATTGCAAAATAATCACAATAAATCTAGTTAATCCATCATCGTTAAAAATACATTTTTTCCTAGTGATGAGAACTTTACGATCTATTTTCTTAGCAGCATTCAAATATGCAGTACAGTATTATTAACTGTAGTTCCCATGCTGTATATTATATCCCCATGACTTAATTATTTTATAACAGGAAGTCTGTACCCTTTGACCCCCTTCACCCATTTCTCCCATCTCTCACCCCTCATCTCTGGCAACCACCAATCTGTTCTTTATCTACGAGCTTGATTTTTTTTTCTTTTGTTTTGCTTTTAATTCCATATAAGTGAGGTCGTATGGTATTCATCTTTCTCTGCCTGACTTATTTCATTTAGCATTTATTTCACCTTGAGGCCTATCTACGTTGTTGCAAATGGCAAGGTTTCATTTCCTTTAATGGCTCAATAATATTACCTTGTATACATACCACAATTTCTTTATCCATGCATCCATTGATGAACATTTAGGTGTTTCCATATCTTGGCTACTGTAAATAATGCTGCAACGGACACGGGAATGCATATATCCTTTAGAGTTGATGTCTTCGTTTTCTTTGGGCAAATACGCAGACGTGGAATTACTGGATATATACTAGTTATATTTTAATTTTTTTGATGAACCGCCATACTCTTCCCTAGTGGCTGCACCAATTTACATTCTTACTTCCAGTGCACGGGTACCCTTTGTTCCACATCCTCACCAACGCTTGTTATTATTAATTTTTTTTTTTGTCTTTTTGATAATCACCATTCTGACAGGTATGAGGTGACATCTTATCGTGGTTTTGATTTACACCTCCCTGATGATGAATGATGCTGAGCATCCCTTCATGTACCTCTTGGCCACCTGTATGACTCCTTTGGGAAATGTCTATTCAGTTCTACTTCCCATTTTAAAATCAGGTTGTTTGTTTTTTTGCTATGAAGTTGTATGAGCTCTTTATATATTTTGAATGTTAGCACCTTGCCAGATAATGATTTGTAAATATTCTCCCATTTCAGTAGACTGCCTTTTCATTTTGTTGATGGTATAATCTCTTCATCTTAGGTAACGTTTACCTATATAATCTCATTTTGCTTTAATTATCTCCTTAAAGGCCTTATCTCCAAATATAGTCACATTCTGAGGTACTGGGGGTTAGGACTTCAACATACGAATTTGGCAGGTACACAGTCAGCCCATATAGTAACTATTATCTTTGGTCAGTATGTGGCATTCGAGGATCAACTTAATGAACTCTGTGGTCAGAGGCAATGACCACAAAATGACCATTAGGTTACAAGAGGATTTCCTACTCAGAGGAATGAGAGCAAGATGTACACCTTTGACAAGGTTGTGAATGACTTTAGGTAAATTAGGTTGAATGGAGGGACATACTGACTCCTGAATTTTATTGCAAGGCACAGATGGTATAGTCTGCTCCTCTGCACCAGCAATTCCTTGTTTCCTGAACCATAGTTCCTGAGGCCAAGCAACTCGGGTAGAACATCCTTGGCATAATGTGCTAAATCCTGGCCGGCAAATCTGACATCAGGCACAAGGGTTAACAATCTGTTTAGGGGCATAAGAGAAACACATGGGACAAGTATAATGTGAGCAACATAAGGCAAAGAGGTGATCAAGCTGGGAGTGGAAAGGAGAAATCAGTAAAGATTTCCGATTTCTGGAGAGGATAACCTTCTCAAAGTTGGAAACTGATGAACAGGTGCTGATGAGGACGATGGTGAAAGTCTAGAGCTACGGCAGAGGCTGGAAATGCAAGGTCCGCAAAGATCCTCTAGAAGTTGATTGGTTGGAGCCTAGGGCTTGTGAATGCAAGGAGGGTTGATTTAAAGCAGTGATGGAGGGAGAAAGGTCTGCCTCTAGGTGTGAGGTGATGTGGGACTGGCTTTACTGACAAGAGGAGAAGGCAGATTGAGTGTCAGGAGAATAAGAGCTGGCGGATGATCAAATGTTAGACTTGAGGAGGTCTAGCGTTGCACACACACCAAAAATCACCACAATGACGTAGTCCCGTGATTCCCAGAGATTACTGGTTCCAGTGCTGGTACTCAGACCTGTGGGGTACTGCCCCAGCGCTCATAAAAGAAAAGATAGGAACAGTCTTACCGGTTTGTGGACTCTTGGATGATGATAGCTAAAAAGTGCATTTCACCATGCAGCTTTCAGTTAGTTTGCTTGCTTCCATCATAACTGTAGACTTCTTTAGTCAGTTCAGTTGTTAACAAGAAACTAGATGGAAGTATTCTCCAAGCGAGAGGCTTAGAGAATAAGCACATTAAACTGTGATGAGTCAGTTAAGTAACAACAAACTTCATTAAATGATTATGAGGCATTTTATGCATTTATCTTAAGAAAAATACAGCATGAAGAACAAAGAAATGGCTTGATCAGAATTTGCTTGGCCTACTGGAATAGAAGAAAACCTCCTCTTTAAGTGTTGACTCAGGGCGCCTGGGTGGCTCAGTCAGTTAAACTTCTGACTTCGGCTCAGGTCATGATCTCATGGTTTGTGGGTTCAAGCCCTGCCTCAGGCTCTGTGCTGAAAGCTCAGAGCCTGGAACCTGCTTCGGATTCTGTGTCTCCTTCTTTCTCTGCCCCTCTCCCACTTCTTCTCTGTGTCTCAAAAATAAATAACGTTACAAAAAATTTTTTTTAAATGTTGACTAAATGTTACAGCATTTCAAAACAGAACTATTCCCCTCCCAATATATTTTCCCAGTAATCTTCGACAATTACTGTAAATGTACTCGGCAACCAATCCTACATTATATATATTTTTAAACATTCAATGGTGTCTTGCAGAGAACGTTCAACCTTTTCATTCTCTTCAGGGGATAACAGATCCTGAGTAGGTGCTGTGCGCTTTCATCTTTTCCCTTAGCATCCTATATGCAAAATCAACAACTCATCCTAGGGGGACTCTCCTTTACACTGCTCTCAGCTATGCCTCAGGACTCCATTTCCTCAAGCGAACTTTTGTGGTGGCGCTCAGGCTCCATAAAATCCCAAGAGATGCTGATGCCTGCCAAGTTGTAGCAACCTGGGTCTCCACTTGCGGAATGGGTTCAAGCCACAGAAAACATGACTGGGAAGAGTTAGAAAACATGTCTTTGGTAGACACAGAAGTTTGGGAATGACTGAGCAGCTGGGAGTAACTTTACTTCTTCCTCTTCCCAGTCTGCAGATATTCACGCCTCGTGGGCTGACCACTCTGAAGGCAGGTAATGGTGCACCCAGTTAGAGTTACAGCCCTGCGCTCGGCCCTGGCAGCGCCCGTCTCACCCCTCCCTGGGCGCAATTAGCCCGGCGTCCCCACCTGCTCCGCAGCTCCGCCCAGCCTCTGGCCCGCCCCGCGCGGGCCACACCCTCTCACCGCTCAGGGGCCCCTCCAGCCCCGCAGCACGCGCCACCGGCCGGCGCCCCGCCCCACCCGTCACGTGACAGCCCCGCCCTCCGTGCGCTCTCGGATTGGCTCTCCCGGCCGAGGGGGTGGGTTCTAGCATACAGCCCTGCCCCGCAACGCGGCTGCAGTTTTCAAACCTCAACTGTAATCTCCGGTCACCGTCTCTGCTGCCGTCGCCGGGAGCCACCTCACAGGGAAACAGGTCACTGCTGTTGGCCGTTGTCCAGAAGAGTAAAAGTGGGTCCTGCCACGCTCGGAGCTACCTGGCGCCTCACTGGGCTAGAGCTGGAGAACAAGTCCTGTGGTGGCCACCGGCGTGTGGCGGGACGGGAGCCCCCTTGGAGGGGGGCAGCCCCGAGAGAACCTCCTGTGGCCCGAGCGGTCAGTGTCTTCCGATTCGCGCGACCGCGGTCCTGCCGCGACTGGTGGGTAGGCTCGGGGCTGCGATTCTGAACCCGTGAACCCGCCCCTTTTACCCTGGATACGGAGACCCCAAACGTGGGAGGGGTCCCGAGGAGGGATACAGGCAGTGTGGGCGAATTAAGGGTCTCCCCAGAACTCCGACCGTCAGCCTAGTGGAGGTGGATTCGGACTCTGCCTCGCAATAGGTGGTCCGACTGCCCGGGGCCCGTCTCTGCTCTCCGGCCGGAGTCCTGCTTCGCGAGTTCCCTCGGGTTCGGGGCGAGGACGGCCGGTGGTCCTCCCAACCCCCCCACTCAGCGTGTCTTGCGTGTGCGCGCGGTCGCCTGGCTCGCCTGGGCTCTCCCGGGTGGCGACCCGCGGGGGCTCCCTGCGCTACCCGCTCACTCGCGCCCCTTCCACGTTGCGTCGATGTGGTCCTTCCTGTCCCTCCCGAGTTCACAGCTGTGTTGTGGGCACAGGACGTATTCACCTCTGGACTGGTGGACACGTTCTGCTCACAGCTGCCTTTGGTCTCGAGAAAGTTTGGTGCTCATCTCGTGGGGCATTTTCGGTAACTGCTTGTGAACAGTGTCTTAAAGTCACTGAATGGAGCAGACGAATTGCAGTTGTTTCAGTAATGTTCAGCGATCTGATTTTATTTTGATGCCGTGTAAATCACTTAAGTGTAGACGAGTCATCCTCAAACTATACAACTACGTCATGGTTACAGTATTGAAGTTTATCCAGCTCTTGGTTTTATTATGTAGGGAAAAGCGCTTCATTTGAATTCCCGTGGAGGGATTAGCAGAGACAAAGTTGAAAGAGACTTTATGGCAGCTGGTAGCTGATAGTTTTCTTCCTCGGTCTGTGATGGGACTAAGAGACACTCGGACGCAAACTTGCAAATTAAAATTAAAAAAATACATTTAAAAATCCAACCAGGTACTGATCAGATTTCAATGCTATTAGGTCTGTGTATCACATTCACTGTTTTGCCAACGTAATGTTTACCTCTGGTACCGGTGAAATGCTGAACCTTGGCAGAGATGTTTGATGCGGCGTGGCCCCTTTAAGTTCTCATCTTTGGGAATGTGTGCGCTGAGACAGCGTGGTCTGCAGGGAAGATTGGGCAAGTGGTGGCCTAGGTATGTAACCTGGCAATATAAGCCCACGAGTACAACTTTATTAAAGGAAAATACAATAAGCCAATTTTCTCATGGATACACTATTTTACAGTTTTATAGTGAACCGTCCAGAAGTAAGTTTTTAACAACTTCTAAAGTGTTTGTTTTATAAGTATTAAGCCATTTACCCATAGAACTTTGTATTTTTGAAAAAGTTGTCCATAGAAGCAGTGCCCTAATTTAAGACCTCTCTTCTTCCCTCTTTATCCTTCTGTGAGATGTTTCATTTTTAAAAAATTTTTCTAATATTTTAATAAGCAGAATTAGTATCTGCTTTATTTTTGAGATGCATAACATGCATTTTAGGTCATTTTCTAAATTATGAATCAAAAATTGAAGTGAAATATATTTACATGGCAATATATTTAAGTTTTCAAAGTAAAACTTGTGTAGTCATTTGAAAGTCTTTCTTTTTTGTGTGTGGACAGAATGGTTGTAGGTAGTTGCTTTTGGACTCTGAATAGTGAATTACAATTTGGTTAAGATAGAATCAGGTTTTAGGAAAGTCAAGCCTTGACTAATTAGTCACTATGTCAGCACATTAATAACAATTCTGAAAAAGATAAAGGCATTTTATGACATGTTTCTAATCAAACAATTTTATTTTTAAGCTTGCATTTGGCAGTGCTTTACTTGTGTTAAGTAAACATTTAAAAGCTTTGTTTTGAAACTGTTTGATAATTATGAGAGAATATCCTTATCAAAAATTGCCTGTTGTCTTCAAGAGACCCAATTAAAAACCCATGAATCAAGGAAATCAATTGCTGACACTTTCACTAAATCCTAAAATTGTCTCAAAATTGCATGCATATTATATTGTAGTGCATATTTCCTGTATATAAAATTGGCAGCTAAGAATAGTGCTGCTAGATTGACTGCTTTTAAAAGATTTTGATTGATTCTTGTGTTTTTTAAGAATTCTTTTGCATTCTGTGGCTATTGATTGTATCAGTAGCATTAACAGTCATTTATATACTTCCTTTCCACTTGGAACAACTTTAATGTTTTAGTTGCTATAGTTTTCCGTAATAGTGATGACAAAATTCAAGGATTTTATTTTTAAGTAGCTTATATTCTCTGATAGACTAATATTAAAGGATATTTCTTTGAATATTTCAATTAACAGATGTACTTATAAATTAAGTTACAAAAAATAAAATTACAAACATATTTTTGTCTAAATATGTTGTGATGTAATTTTCAAGACATATTTTGTTAAATTTTTAAAAATATCTTTTATTTCCCCCTTTTTTCCAATAACATTTAACCCTGAACTTGAATGCTACTTTAAACATCTAAGCTAATCAATTTCTTTCAATATTTGTAGTGTATTTTGGTGCATCCTGACCCTTTGCAATTTCTCCACCAAAAGAGGGCATAGTTCTACTTTAAGCATTTAAAATTTTGATATTAACAGTGAGATGGTAGTTTCATCTTTAATCCTTAAAGGATCATATTCCATTTTGTATTGTAATGATTACTGAACAAACGGTACTTCAGTGGAACGGTGTGTAAACAGTACTTTATTTTACAATAGAAACTTAATTTTCCATTTGATGAATGACAAGCCCTATGTGTTTGTTGGTCCACTGTATTTCTGTTTACAGCATCTTCCTGTCCTGTTCACATTATAGGGTTTAATTTTTCCTTCTGAAGGTAGAAGAGACAGCCCCGGGCTTTACTGTCATGGCACACAGTCAGGCATGGGGCCGTTACCTGGAACTTCAGCCCTTGGGTAGTATGTGCTTAGACTGGTTGGGCTAGAGTCAGTTAGCTGGCTTCCTTTTGTGATTTCCAAAGGATTAAATTCCTGACTTACACTTCCTATTCAATCTTGAAAAACAAACAAAACAACAAAACCTATTATTAGAATATAGTTAGTAAAAGGAATATAGTCACTTCCTTGAAATTAAAAATCCTCTTCATCCCTGTCCCTTTACTTCTAATCAGTGGCTTAAAAATGGAGTCTTCTGCCATCCTAGCAGAAAGTTCTTACTTTATTTTGATGGACGCTACATAAATAATTCTCTAGTTCCTCTGTGTCCTAGGAAAAACTGGTAGCTATTAAATGCTGACATAGAAAGGAGTTGTTTCCCCGTAATCTTGTGCCTTGCATTGTTGCCAGTTGCCTTTTGAATTTTCTTCACAATGATGTAGATTGGTCAGTCCTTACCAGGACAAATTTCTGAATTTACTGAATGAGGTAGCTTTTAAAATATTGATATTCTTAGCTGAAATAGGTATTCACATAAAAAAATGTGGCCACTTAGTCTGAAAAGACAGGTAAATACAAAATAAATTGTTGGTATTACATTGCAGTATATGAAAAAATAATTTTCTCCATTTTTCTAAGCTTTATGGCTATGCTGTTTAGAATTTAAATTCTCTAATAGCAGTTTAGAATATTTCTTATTTTATTTAGCCAAGTATTGATTAAGCAGAGACTAAGCTGCTTGAAGCTCCAATACTATTAATTTCAAGATGGATCTCAAGTTCTGCTAAACCCTTGAAGATCCAAGATGCACCTAAAAATTCTTGTTGCTGTATTTCGTAATTCCTATAATTCAGTTCATCAAACATTAAAAAAATTACTATCTGGTGCCAGACACCATGATGGGAGTTTAGACTCACAAGTAAATGTTGCTGCCCTTTAGACACTAAAGAGAACTGCAGCCTAACATGTTACTTGTTGAGGTAAAGAGGTCTGTCCGGGGTCCTCCTAGTCCTCTTCTTTGAAGTATAAAGTTCAGGCATTTAGACCAACCTGTGGGTTTTAGGCAAAGCTTCCTGGGGGAGGTGACATTTTGTGTTGAGATATGAAGCGTGTGTGAGAAGACTTAGCCTTTTAAGGAGAAGTAGAAAGAATGTTTCAGAGATGTGGAGGCAAAAAAAAAAGTGTGGCAGGAAATGAAACTGGTGTGTACCTGGCCTCAAAAGGCTTTTCTCTGCCATGTGCGGGAAGGGCTTTAGCTTATCGGTACTGGGTAGCTAATGAAGGGATAAAAGCAGATGATTTAATCCTGTAGATGTTTTCATTTATTGTATATTAAATATTCTATTCTTATAAAGTATTTTTATTGATAACTTTGAAATGAATATTGTGATGAATATTTTTAAAAATAGAGCTATTTATAGGTTGTTTTACTTCTGATCACGTCACATTGCTTTCTCCTTTCAAGTAAGTTAAGGCCCAGACCAAACCTAACATTTCCTCTGTTACTTCCTTCACTGATCCATATCTGAATTCTTTTTGTAATTATTGTGATGGGAATTAATGAAAGAAAAATATTTGAAAATAAGTTTCAGGTACTGTATAATTGGAAGCTTAATTTTATCTTGCCTCTATTACCCTCTTACTGTTTCTAGTGCTTGACTGTGTCCCTGAACACATACACACTCACAGTTACCTACTAAGTCCCTTAAGATTTTTTTAATTAGTATAGCCTAATATAGTGTTATGAAATGAATTTCAAATAGATTGGGACATATTGGCAATGTAGAATCAGTTATGTGAATTGTGGTAGAAAATAAGGAAAGGTCTGGGGTTGTTGTTGGAGTTAAAGAGAAATTGGTGGGAAGGCACAGAGACAGAGCTGACTGATAACCTTCATGTACCCAAGGATTAAATCTTACATGATGGGCAACCAGATGTTTGTGGGAGGTTTAGACAAGGGTAACATACATGGTCCATTATATGTAAAATTGGCCAAAGGAGAAGAAATGGAAAAATATCTAGGCTGTGGCAAGTGGTTCAAGGGCAGTAAATAGAAGAAAAATGCAGGATGCTATATGTATGCCTTAAGCAGTCTGTAGTAGATTAACAATAAGTAGGTAAATGTCAGGTTCTGTCTTCAGAAATGTGCTCGCTTTTTTTTCTGAGACGTAGCTGTGTTCAGAGCTAGTCTGAAATGTATCACAATTCAAAAAAAGATTTTTGTATTAACATGTATTTAAAAGAATTGCTGATTGCCCAGTGCTGTTTTCAGCTACATTTATAGTCATAAAAATGCCTGTGGGTACATTCAGCATTATGAATGTGAGGGAAGGAAAAGTTGCTAGGGTAAAAAAATTAAACATAAGACAGTGTCCAGTATTAGGAAATATTATTAAGTAGCTCAATTAATAAGGCCCTAGTTATATTATTATAACCCATATCAATCCTTTTTTAAAAAGGTCATCTCTTTTCTCTTCTAACATAACTAAATAATAGATATAACAAAACTTAATATTTATCTGTATATTTGGATATCACATTTTGGAGTTGTTGGGCAGGGGACCCAGGATAAGTCTAGATTTTCACAAGTGATACTCATAATTAAGGTGTATGTTTTAAGGTTACAAATTGTTATTCATTATATAGAATTGTATCTATGACATTAATTTAGAATTTGTTAAATTGTCTTTTCTGTCCAGTATTAAACAAGGCATTAATTCTTATTTAGTGCTTACCTTGAATGCTTATATGGTCTCTGCATAAAAGCTGAAATATTATTTGGATAGTGAACACCATCTGCTCTGTTTAAATGCAGAGAAAATGCTGAGGCCTTAAAAATTTTGAGCAATAATGTCTCTTGAACCTACAACCAAGTAAACCCTTAATGTGTGAAGAGATAGATTTTTCTGTTGCAAGTGGGTAAGTTGCTGCATTTAGGGTCTCATCATGTATAGTCACAGCAATATTTTTTCTCTAAGGCATTTCCAAAGGCATTTACTAATTTTTGCCTATTATTAAAGTAGTACCTGCTTAGTGTAAATACTTTAAAAGCAGGAAAGTATAAATACTGTCATGATCCCACCACCCAAAGATAGCCACTATTAACATTTTGCCCTAATTTTCCAATCTTCTCTTTGCTTTTTTATTTTTGCCACAAAATTATCATGTATATGCTTTTTGTGTCTTCCTTTTTGCACTTAAGCTTATATGAGTTAAGAATATTCTTTGGAAGCATGGTTTTTGAGTATATATATCTTATTTTTAGGTATATTTAAACATTGTTGGACTTTGGAATTCATTCATTCAATAAGTTTTTTTTTTTCATTATTATAAATTATATTTCATTGAGCATAAGTCTTTGACTACATCTAAGACCTATATTGACTCAGGAAACTTGAGAGCAAAAAATACTTACTCATAAAATTAGTTCTGTTAGAGTTCTTATGAATACATCACTTTGTAGCTGATATAGCATGAGATAAACATCTTAGATTCTACAGTCTCCCTGAGGTGAACATCAGAGTCAAGAGCCTGTACTCTGTCTCTGTGATTGAATTTGACATGTTCTTATTCCTGTATTTCCCAAGGGATTGATGGACACTGTTGGGAATTTAGCCCAGTTTGTATACATGATACAGTTATATCCCTTCTTTATGTGTATATGTATGTATAGTATAAATATGATCATAAGCAGGCATATTCATAGACTTTGAGATTTAGAAAAAAATTGTAAAAGGCCAAAGATGACCTGAAAAAAAAAATAGATTGAGCATAGAAATTGGTAACCATATTGATTTTTCTGAGAGGAATATATGGCCAATGTAACTGAGTGCTATCAGAACTAAGAAAGTACATAAATAGTTTATCAAAACACAGTAAAAAAAATAAAAAATAAATAAAACAGAATTTTAAGAGTTGAGTGTAAGCTAACTTGGGGTGAGAGATTTGTATATGAAAACAGTACAAACTACTCAACAGTACCCAGAGACTGTGTAGAGAGTATCTTTAGGTAGAATATTAACAATATTTACTTACTGAACAATCATGATGTACTCTCATGACAAGCACTATACCAGCATCCTTCATCATGAATTCATCATATTTTAATTTTAATCTTTAGAGTTCTGTGAGTTCTGAGAGTTCTATTATAATCCATGCTTTAGAAGAAACAGAATTCAAGCTTTCTTCACTGGTAATCAGAGAAATGCAAAGTAAATCACAAGATTTCCTTTCATCACACTACAATAGCCAAATTTAAAGGCCTGAATGGGACAAATGTTGGCAAGAAAATGATAAGGTCTCCCACCTAGTGATAGTGGGAATGTAAACTGGGCATGTAAAGAAGGGACCAACTTCAACTGTGTCAGTGATGTTATTTATTTTTATTATATTTATTTTTTATATTTATCTTTTATATTTATATAATATT